CGCGCTGACATTCCACTTGAGAGCTGCATCTTCCTCAAATGCCTCTGGCAAAGCAAGCGCAATAAAGGAGGCTTCTCAAAGTGCATGCGACCTCAACGCGCAAAGTCTCTCCTAGCAACCTGATGCCCTAAACATCCCTAAGCCCTAAGCCCGAAACCTTTCCTATGTATCCCGGACCTTGCGTCCTGGCTGAAGTGTCAGTTTCTCCAAAGCATGTTTTTGTTCCCTTGATCCTGTAGGTTGACCCCTATGATCCCCATATCTCCCTACTTTGCGGCATTCTGGGGTTACTTAAAGAGTCATAGTAAGGTTTTAATGAGCTTGTCAAGGGGATATAGTATATGCCCTGGGTCCCTCAAAGTAGGGTAGGTCCTTCCTAAGGGTACCTCCCTACGCGCAAATTACTGCTGGAAGCAGGTCGAGACTCTTGGGGCGAGAGGTCCTTTGGCGCGGGTGCGGATGCAAAGTCCCGAGTCATATCTCAGCGCGGTCTTGTAAAAAGGTAGGGGAAAATTCCGAGTAATAACCATGTGCAGGTAATATCTTGTAGTCCCTTATGAGAACCGTCATAGATAGGAGATAACAGTAGTACTTCGGCCTCTAAACCCAACATCCCGCCTAGTCCACTCTCCCTATTTGTGTTGGAAGCTTTAATCTATAGGGGTCATCGTCCCCAATGTCCCCATAGAATCCCCATATATGTACCGCTCTTAGGCCGCCTACTTGGGGGTTGCTAGGCCTCCAAGGCTATGATTTGGGATTATAGGGTTTATAGACCATTTTCCGGGGAAGTGTTGGGTAGGGGGTATCTGAGGGATATGTTGGAACATCTTTGTTCGGGGCTAGGGGAAGGAAGGGAAAATCAGAAGCTACTATTTGGGATTTAGGCTTCAGGGATACTACCCCAATCATGGAAAATCGGACACAGAACGGGAAAAATGAAATGGACACTGGGGGGAGGAGAGCGGGGGGTGGGGGGAGGTAGGAACAGCAGGAATAATGGTAAGGTTTAGGGTTTAGGGTTTAGGGTTTGGGGCAATGATAGCAACAGCGTTACTGATCCATGTTGCTGATCGGTATTAGTAGCACGAGTGAGAATAAAATAGTATCTGGCCACTACCTTTGTTGACTAATTCTGCTGCATGAATCCCTAAACCCTAAACCCTACACCCCTAAACTGGGCAACTGCGCCACTCGTGGAATTTTAGTTTAGGCCCTCAAAGCCTAGGCCCAAATCCTGAAAGCCTCATTGAAAGTAGTGGTTTCATTTTTCCACTGGCCATTAGCCATCACATGAGGGTTTCCCAAAATTGCGGTATCATTTTTTGGGAGTATCCAGAATGAAGGCATGAGACAACCCCATGCGAGGCCCTACCCAAACCCCTAAAGTATGTAGAATAATGGCCTTTGGGGCCATATTTAAGGGCTTTGGGCCATTATTTTACATAGTTTTGGGGTTCAGGTAACCTTAAACCCTTCTGCCCTGAGGCAAGAAGTTGTCTCGAATTGCGAAGAAGCTCCTTTCAGCAACTGGGTTGCTGTTAGGGAACTTAAATTAAGTTACTATATTATCCCCCTATAATGGAGAATCAAATGGAAAAGAAAATGGAAAATGAAATGGAAGCTGGGGGAATACAGGGATTAAGGAACTTAAGTTAAGCTACTATATTGGGGAAACCCTATTATTTACTTTATATATACCCGTTACTGCAACTTAATTTAAGTTCCTTAACAGCAACCCAGGCAATGGTGTGGCGTAGAAGATGCGCCGTCCTTAGTCCAAGTGTGCGGCTTCAGGGCCCGGGATTGAATTGGCAGTTGTTTGTTTTTTGGTTTTGTCCCGTTTTGCAGCTAGGGCCCCAAACCCTAAGATCGCAGATCCCAAGCCTGAGAACCTAAATACAGCTTTGAAACTTTGCGAAATTCCAAAAAGCAAAAAGATGCAAAAAGTCATAATAGTAATAAAAGTAGTGCTGCAATAGTAATAGTAGCAATACTAGTAGTAACATAAAATATTCTGAATCTTGAATCCCAGGTTTCATGGACCATCTTCTGGTTTGTCGAAGTCATTGTCCCTTTTTTGGCGTTCCCCACTCGAACGCAGCTCCTCTTTTATAGGATGCTCAAGCAGGGACCATAGGGTTTAGGGTTTAGGACCATCATTTTGACAAGCCTCCTTTAGAACCCTAATTCCTATAAACCACTGTGCAAGCCCAGCTTCCATTTCATGTTCTATGTCCTTTTCCTTTTGGTTCTCCATTGTTGGAAGGTACTACATCTAGCCCTTTAAATCCTCACATAGTCTCATCTATTCCTAAAGATCCCTCTTCCATTAGACCCACTTGTACACCCCAAACCCTAAACCCCAAAAAGGGACCATCACTTGATCTCCATAGCTGCTTAGATGAGCCCTTTGCCAGAGTCCTGGGAGCGGGGGAGGGTTTGCCTGTTGTAAAACCATGTAGGGTTTGGGGTTTAGGGTTTGGGGTTTGGGGGTTAGGATTTTTGGCCTTGGGGTTTTGGGTTTAGTTACCTAAGATAAGGGGCTGCTATAGCCTAAAGATGGGTAACTGCCACCCAATTTTAAGCTATAGTAGCCCATTGTTTTAGGTGACGTGGCTTTCTAGGTACAGGTAAACATCTGGGCTGCCCAATGCTCTCCGCACGTACTCCCAAACCCTAAACAATGTAATCCCCGCCCGCAGGATCCCAAGACAAGACCCGTAGACTTCAGAAATTAGGGTTTAGGGGTTTAGGATGTACGGTTTACCATTTATTAAGGTTTAGGATTTAGGGTCCAGGATATAGACTTTGTGAGTCCTGGTTTTAGGGTTCAGGGTTCAGGCTTGAGTCCTAGAATAGGTTGCCTGAAGCCGAAGCTCCGAACCGACATTCTCATCTCATCCGCCTGATGATTCCTGGCACAGAAAGTATTTGCCTAACATCAAATAAACGTATGTTGGAAGCCTCTGTTGGTGGCGTTTATTGTTGAGATGAAGTGGTTGCATGCTGTGGCCTACACCCCAAGGTGCAGATGCACTTTGTACCAGCAGCTCCTTCGTCCCCGGCTGCAAGGGGGCCTCCGGGACCAGGCTCGCGTCTTGGGTTGGCTGGTTTTAAGTTTGAAGGCTTGCAAGTTGAAGGTTTTTGGCTTGAGGAGCTTAGTGTTGCAGCTATCGTATGCAGTTAAGGGTCAGTCACTTGAATAACAGGGACCTTGCTAAAGGTCTCCATGGATTCATTGCAGAGGAGTGTTGAGGCTAATAGGCTAAGGAGGATTGATCAAGCCTTTACCTTCCTTTTGGCATCATGCAATACCAGTGTAAAAGCTGAAAACATCGTCTCAGGTGTTTCGCAAGTGCCGCCACCTCAGGAGATCCCGCAGTCAACTTGATCGACTTCCTTTCCTTCTCCCGATTTAGCATTTCCAGCAAGTAGGGCTGACCCGCACTTGTGGTACTGTTGACACTAAAGATCCTGCATGAACTTAAGTATACTGTAGTCCTACGATTGTCAGGGTTTAGGGTATTTAGGGGTCATAAAGGATGTTTAGTATCCACCGTAGCACAGGAGAGTATGTGCTTTCAATTGCAGGATTACTTTGGGATCTCGTCCGGCTTAAGTCTGGGGTAATGCCCCCACTGATTAGCAGTGGGAAAGTATCTCTACTATAATAATATGTTATAGCCCTTAATATGACCCCTATTATAGACTCTTAGTGGGTGTGGGCAGCACCCAACTTAAGCCCTTCCAGCCCGCTTGAGCTTCCAAGCTGAAGCTTGGCTTCAGGACCACGTGTGAAGCATGCAATTTAAGGTTTCGGGTTAGGGGTCCAGCGTGAAAGGTTTTAGGCCTTTTTGGGGGGCCTGGGGTTAGCGTGTAAGGTTGCTAGGCTTCAGGGTCTGGAGGTGAGTAGATGTTCTACAGGAAGAGCACCAGCGGTCATGCTTCTGCGCGGGACTCAAGCCAACTTAATTCAGCGATACCGTCTGCTAAGAAGTTTAATAGGTTCGTATCAGTAATGTCTACGCGTCGCAAGCAGGGTTTTTCACTACCATCCGTCTTACACAAACTATAGCCATGGTTGCATTCATTCTATTGTGATTTACTTTGCTTTAACTAGTGTTTATGATGCTTGCCAGCACTTCCCAACTTTTTCTCGTTTCAATCTTGTCATTGTTGGGCAGTCATGCCTATAATGCATGCGGGCCCATGCTGCCATACCAGTTTCCCAAAATTCGGCTCACCCTGTATAGATCCCGAAAAGAAAGGTCAGCTCTTCTTGTGGGACTCGAGGCGCCGTAATGTTCAGCGACTAGAGACTTCAGTTGCCCAAATCACCAGATGTTCCTCAAGTAATCCCTGCACCACCCCACCTAAATGATCCCTTCATAGTCCCCACAACCCCCTGAATCCTAAACCTTAAACCCTCAACCTCAATGCTAAGCCCCGCTGCGAGCACCCACACGTCACCTAGGCTTACTGCATTGTCGCAGTCAGCCATGCTTAGCATGGACGGTGTTACTCGCCTCGAGGCGAAGGTACAGGGGTTTACTGCAGGTGTCAGGCTCAGGCTTTGGAATTTGGGATGTAGGATGTAGGGCTTATGGCTGAGGATTTCGGAGTTGGGCTGTCTGCCTGGATTTTAGGGCTTAGGTTTTATGGCCTCTATGTAGGTATGCTACAAGGCGAAGGTAATTCACAGGGTTTGATGGTGGGCTAAGATATGAGGCAATGGTGTTGGCAGCTATTCGGGGCTTTAGTTTGTCCCGGACGAGCCTACGCCCGAAGAGCCGACATACAGAACTACAGTATGACCACACCGCAGGAGGTCCCCTCCTTTGTTGAAGTATGTTCGCACAAGAGCTAGTATAGAGGAAGACTGCAATTGACCTTCGTGGCCGTCTCTCTCAAACCAGATTGCTGCCGGCCCAGATTTCTCAGGCAGCGCATGCCCTCAGCTTCTCAGGCGCAGGAGCAGATGTGGCATGTGACGATCCATGAGATTGCACAGACCGGAGCGGCGGCAGCAAAGCTTAGCGAAGATTAGGGCTGGACTGAGTCTTCCCTTTCTGTCTGGACGGACAAGATTGTCTTGGATCTTGTTGTTTCTGTTATTTGCTGGCAAGTGTGGCCTGAGCCACGCATCGAGCTCCCACAATGTCTGGGCTGAGCTGCCGAACTCTTGGAGCCCAGGAGATCCCGAATCTTACTAGTGGTTAGTAAATGCAGGTTTTCAGAACCATTTAGGGGGATTTTGCGGGGGCCTCCGTACCTTAGGGATCCATTTTCCCACTCCCTACAACAACCACTAAGGAATTCAACGGTGGTGCAATCTCCCAGAATAGCTCTGGCAGGAAGGGGCTGTTGCATGCCCCGAGTCGGCGCATTTCACAGGAGCTGGTCTTCGTCACTGCTGAGGAGGACGCCACGGTGTCCGAAGAGGAAGTTACCCGGCGGCAAATTGTGATAGTTGCGATGTGCCGACCTTTTAGGACCCTCAACTATAAACCTTGACCGCCAATTATACAACATTTTTGGTGACTTTGAAATTTGTACAACCCAGGTTCTCTTCTGCAGCATATACATTACAGCTTCACTCCCCTTGGGCTTGATAGGGGAAAGTGGCTTGCTACTGCACCGGGCAATTTCACTGACACTGGAGATTCCTCAGACGTTCGTCAGAAGTCTCACCATGATCAGCGCCCCGGTGGAAGCACCAAAGGAAGACACCACTGGTCAGGCATGGCAGAACTATCAATTTGACTTCGCGATCCTTCCCCCCAAAAATGGGGCCGCAGGGGTGACGTACCTCCTACAGGTGGCTTCTGAGGGTTCACTTCTGCAGACATTCAAGGCGTTAATTCGCGAAAGTCAGGCGATGACCAACGTGCTCATCAGCCCGTTTTGGTTGCTTCTCATGCCTGTTCCGCAAGTAGAGACGAAGTCGGTCACTCGTCCCACGATTTTTGCCACATGGTCATCCACAGAGAAGCCACCTATTTACATCCCATCCTTCACTACAACACCCAAGCCCGTAACACCGCAGATGTGCTCCAGCACGACTGCTCCGTGCACCTGCGCGGGGATCAATGGTTGCGAATGGGTAACTTCGGTGGGTGGCGGATCTTACTGTACGGAGGGCAGGGGTCGGGTGCCATGCTCTGCTTGCAGCGCGCAGGAGCATTGTGCAGCTACCTCATGCGAGGGCTTGACAGCCCCTTGTCCCTGTGCTTACTCACCTCTTGGCTGCCATTGGGATGAGCAGGGTACACGATGCATGACGGGCCAAGCTCCTGGAACATCTTGCAGCGCATGTGCTACTCAGGGCCACTGTAACCCTCCGCAGATCGTCTCAATCGTTCCAGCTTCAGGCACTCAGCTGAGAGTTCCGGCCCACAACAACATTGAGATCAGCTTCAACCGAGCCGTGGTGATCACACAACTGGGGAGTATCTGGGATACAGTGAAAGGACTTAAGCTAAGTTACCATCATGGAGAGAATTTTCCCAATGGTATTATATTCATGTACGTATAATATTATTGCAGTTGAGGACTACATGCCTTAGCAACAACCCAGGTGTTTCCTTCAAGTGTACGGGCCAGGAGCTTCCATTCTTCGTTCCCTGGGAGGGCATCCAGGCAAGTGCCTCGGGCACAGGCATCCTCGCAACTGGGTTGCTGCTTAGAAACTTAAATTACGTTTGTATGAGAAGAAAACCTTATTAGTATTTATATACCCAAATTAAGGGTAACTTAAGTTAAGCTCCTTAACCGCAATCCAGGTAAGCATTGCAGTCCTGCTTAGGGCCAAGTTTACGGTCGTGAGGCAGTGCGACTTGAACATTGGAGCCCCGATTGCTCATAGCCTAGGATTTAGGGTTGGGGTTTAGGTCTTAGGGTTTAGGATTTAGGTTCTGCGGTTCTTGAGTTGTTGGTGGTGTTCGGCTACACGTAAGGGACAGGGGTAGCAAATGCGATTCTTCACATGCATGCCTTTCGGGGCTGTCCTATAGTCCACACGAAAATCCTTTTCTACTTGTTTAGGCCCATTCGCCTAAGCCAATTCGCGTAGAGACCAATAATCCCATTACCCCATATAGGGCTTATACATGCTTATACCCTAAACCCTAAACCCTAAACCCTACCCCAACCATAGCCTACATGGGTCCGCATTGAGGATCTCTCCTATAGCTCCTGGAGAACCCTTAGGCTTTAGGATTTAGGGAGAACCCACAAATTACAAACCCTTAAGGGTTTAGGGTTTAGCCCTAAACCCTAAACCCTAAAACCGATAGAGCCCAGGAGCTGGGGTAGTTGTCGACCGAACCGATGTGCCGTTCACAGGTTTGCAGCAGGGCGTGTACAGCTTCAAGCTAGGTGGGCTGTTCTTCAAAGTCGGCTTAGGGATGCCTAGAGGGTTTAGGGTTTAGGGTTTAGGGGGTATACGGTTTAGGGTCTAGGGTCTATTAGGGTTTTGAGTTTAGCTTCGGGTTAAGGACCCTTGCAGGACGGGCTATGTGGGTTGGGGTTTAGGCTTGCTTCAGAATGCCTAGCGGGCCCCTATCTGGGAAATCCATGACTACGCAGTCTTCAGGATATCCCTTAGGCTCCCTAAGGTCCGCTAAGGTTTTCGAACATGAGACACCCTCATATGGGTTGCTCTCAATGTTGTGGAACCCTTATGGTGATAGAATATATTACGGCACCTAATACTTAGGGGTACCAAAATGGGAACCTTATTTTGGGAACTACCCATACGTTCTATAGTCTAAACTCCTTAAACGGGATTATAAAGCGGAGTTGTAGGCGTTACTAAGGGGGATACTAGGAGTTTGGACTATAGTTCATATGGAGAGTCCTTAAGGCTTCCTAAAGTTCTGTCAGTCTGAGAGGCGAAGTTATCATCGATATTTACCTAGGGCTTCAGTTACCTCAATAATGGGTTACATAGTCTAGTAGCCTACTATTTAGGTGACTGGGAGCCCTAGGGTTTGCTATGCATCAGAAGACTTTAGGGTTTAGGGCTTAGGGTTCCTGTCAGGATTCCTACTCCCATGTGGGAGCTCCTCAAAACAGTCCCTGTAGATATCTCCCTCGGGTCCGCAGGACACCGCTACTTGGACCTTGAAATTAGGTTTCAAGAAAATCCAAAAACCCGTACAAAGAAGCCAGTAAAGCTGTTGTTCTACAGACATTTTGGATCATGTTGGATTCAGCTGGTTAAAGACTAAAGACACCCTAAGCCCCTGGCATACCAAGAATTCCGGAGGTGATACCCTGCAGCCACAGCTTGTGCAGTTCGAGCCCTTGAATGGCAAGTCTGACGTGACCCCAGGTGCGCTTGGACTCACGGGGGTTTAGGGAATGGGGGAATATGTTTTATAGGGATTACGTAGAGATTATATTTCCTTGTTCCCTATCTAAAAACCAGTAAGAGGATACGTAGAGGAAGCCCAAGTGATTGCCATGTAATATCCTACCGTCTCCTACGGATTTTTGTTATAGAGAACAAGCGTTTCAGAACACACTTACCCAGGTGCAGCTGTGACGTTCACTTTCGACGAGGAGCTGGTGCTGATGTCAGGCAGCAAGACCATCACTGTCTACGAGCTTGCACAGAGTGGCTTAGTGGTCAGCGAATTAAAGAAAACGTGCAAACCCAGATCAAGAAAAGGGAGTCTTCTTGTTACAGGTGTTCTTCTGGGAGGGGAAGTAGGCATAAACTTCCCTAGACTTGAACTCCTCACTCACCACAAAATCTAGGGAAAATCTGGTAATGTCCTACAGTGCTTTAGGTCTCGGGTTTAGGGTTAGGGATTAGGGTTTAGTGTTTAGGGCATACATCACGCTATTGGTTCGTGATTTACTTGCCCAAAAGTCTGGGTTGCTGTTCAGGAACATAAATTAAGAAACTATAATATGGGTTTGGAGTAAATACTAGGCTTTCCTCATTACAGTAACCTAATTTAAGTTCCTAAACAGCAGCCTGCAAATCTCTACATATACCCAGTTTCGATGTAATGTCCTATGTTCTTTTCCATTTGATTCTCCACTATAGGGGGATAATATAGCTAAACCTTATATGGTAGTTTCCCAAAATGAAAGGACCCCAATATAGACCCAAATATATTATAGTCCTCATTATGGGGATTCCCAAGAAGGTACCCCTAATTTTGGGAAACCCCCATATATCCCAATATACCCCTATCTAGCCTCTCCGGCCGAGGCGATGGCCCGGTTCGGGCCGGCGCCATCGCGGAGTTTCAGATGTCCTCCCCGAACGTGGCCATGTCGCTGCAAGCAATAAAGATCGAGCTCGCAGACTTGACCAAACCAGGCGGTTAAGGGTTTAGGGGCTTACTTAGACCCCCCAAGTTGGCCCCCAAGTAGCCTCTATAGACCCTAAGTATCCTCAAATAGAAGCTCCATAGACCCCATTTTAGGGTACTTGGGGGGTCTAGGTAGGGTTTAGGGTTTAGGAGCCAATCAGGGACCATTCCCTGGGATTAATGCACGGAAAAGAAGATTGCTAGCTGGAAAGCTGGAACGTACTATGTTATATAGGGCGTGCAGTTTAGAAGTTAGGGCTCAGGGTTCCGGGTTTGGAGCTCAGTGCTTGGGTTACAGTGGAGCCGGACAGCGGGAACGTCAGTATTCCCCACTTCGAGAGCTAGACTGTAGTCTTGTAAGGAATTCTTTCATGTTTATGACACTTAAACCGTAAGGAATTATGAAACATGCGGCAATCATCATTAATATGAGTCTAGGGGGATTACAGTCGAGTCAGGGAACAAGAACATGAATTATCATGTTTTCACGTCCGAACGTCAGCCATTAATTATTTGGAAGTCATTCTCTCCACGCCATCGTAAGGCAGCAGCTTCTGCAACTAGATTTAGCAAAGCTAAGCTTCCCCAGGGTTTCGGGTTTAGGGTTTAGGGTCCAACAAGCCTTATCCTCCCCAAACCAAACCAACATGGAACCTCAGGAACCTACTTTTCAAAGGACAGCTGTCTATGTAGGCTTCTTTCTGCGTTCCATGTTAGTTTTCGAGGAGTACACACCCTCAACGCTGATCATTATACGTCACAGGATAGCCCCTATATGTTCCCTACAGAATCCCTATCTAAACCCTAATACCCTAAACTCTAAGCCCTAAACCCTCAATCGGTTTGGGGACCCCCCAAGAAGTGGCCCATAGTCTGGGAAATCCTAAACACTATACATCCCTATCTACCCCTATATATCCCAGTATGTCCCTCATATACCTTTAAAGACCCCGAAAACGTGGGGATCCCTAACTTCTCAAAGCCTGACATTCCCTAAGCCCTAAGCCCAAAATCCAACTTCCTTAAACTCTAAGCCCTCAACCCGAAGCCTTAAACCCTAGACCCAAAGCCCTAAACCCGAAAGCCTAGACCCAAGCACTAAACCTTAAGCCGCTTAAGCCCTAAACCTAGACCCCAAAGCCCTCAACCCTAAGCCCCAAACCCTAAAACCTTAAAACCTGAGCCAGGGGGCCTTGCCTTGGGCCTAAAGATGGATATCGTTACAAGGAGGGGTTTAGGGTTTAGGGTTTGCGTGGGCTTTCCAAAACATGATGGGGATTCTGATTGGTGGCTTTGGGTTTTAGGGTTTAGGGCTTAGGTTTGAGGCTTCAGAGTTTAGGATTTAGAGAGTTTAAGTTTTTGGGTTGTTTTTTGCCAGGTTCGTCCTCAATAAAATTAGGGCCAGTTAAAGCCAATTAAGGGCGCTACGCGGGGTAGACTGGGGGGGGGAGGGTGTTGGTAGGGGAACCCCATGATTCGGGTTGGGCAGTTTAGGCGTTGGGGCTTGGGTTCTTCATCCAGGGTTTCAGGATTGAGTAGGTTAAGGGTTCGGGCTTAGGGTTTAGGGTTGCGGATTAGAGTCAAGTCTGTAATCATAATCATAAAACATAGAGGGATCATTACCGCTGAGTATCCCACGTAGCCAGTCCTTCATCAACGCAGCTACGTACGTTTCAGCGGGCTCCAAGCCCATCTAAGTCTAAGGGGTGCTCCGATCGAAAGTACGGTATTTTTTGGATTCAAGGAGTATGTGGAGATTTCGGTCAGGGAACTGACGTTCGGTGCTTCCCCAGATGTAGAGAGTCTAGTGGTGTAGCCTTAAACTCCCTGAACACCTAGACCGCTTCGGGTTTGAAAATGAAAGGTTCTTATCTTAGTCCGGAATTAGTTGGGGTTCGCAAGCTTTGAATTTGCGTGTAGCGGACGCCGCAATCCCTAAGCCCTCAAACTGGGGTTTAGGGTTTATGGTTTAACACGCTAGTATATAGGTTTTTCTAGACAAGGGGGGCCACCTCTTGTGTATCCAAAATAGGTTCGGGGCTCAGGCCTCATAGAAGGTACCCCCAGAAAGGGGCCTCAAAGTGTTGGAAATCCTTGTTTGGGATCATGACCCTAAACCCTAAACCCTAACCCCTACATGTGGGTGGCTGTAAAAATTATGGTCCCTTTTTGCGTACCCTAAATATTCGGTGCCGTATTATAAAAGGGATCCAAAAAAGGACCATAATTCTGACAACCACCCGTGTAGGGATGCTTGAACCAACCCTGAGGGGTATAGGGTCTTAAGGTTCCAGGATTTCAGTTATACAGGGATACTGGAAAAGAAATTGGAAACCATTATAGTCAGGGTTTTGGGTTTAGGGTTTAGGGTAATACAAGGGTGACAAAAAGGGATAATGGAAAAGAAGATGGAAACTACTATCATGGGATAACAAACAGGTATTATGTTATGTTGTGGGTTTTGGCTTTGGTGAAAGCTGATGCTGATGTAGGGAATATCTTACGCAACTCGGGATACTCAAAGGATGATGACGCCCGTCATTAGGGAATAATCTGGGTGGGAAAGATTCCCTCCAGCCATGGCAGCTCTTTGGGGGGTTGCCAGCAAGCATGTTTACAACCTCTACGATTCCCATGACTAACCTGCCTACACTAAGTCCCTTCAAGGCTAAACCTGCAATCCTACTCTTGCCCTTGAAGATCGACTAATTAATAGCCTTGGGTGGGTCTCATGGCGCTGATCTTATCCGTCACATGAAGACTCCTAGTGTGCACACGCAAAACAAGAGGAATATCATCCTAACATAATCCTAAACCTATAAGCCCTAAACCATGAATTCCCCTAAACCATGCATTCGGAGCCCTATCCCAACATCATTCTTACGAAGCCCTAGACGTGGATGCCCTGAGCCTTAAGAGCAGAACCGCACCAGGACGCTTCGCAGAGTGCTGGCGGACATCCTTAGCGATATGATTGTCGTGCCATGGCAGCAGTAGACAGGAAGACGTTGATGCGATGATGGGTCTAATCTGCTTAACAAGTGTACCTTTATCCCACTTATGACCCTAAACCCTAAACCCTAAACCCTAAACCCTTAACCGCGATTTTAGGGGCCTAAGTCTTGGTCCTAACCACGGCTACGCAGCAGATCAGAAGTAACTAGTGCGCCACTCCAAGTCGCGGACAAGTCGCTTGGGAATTTCTTCATAGGGTTTAGGGTTTAGGGTTTAGGGTCTAGGGTCTAGGGTCTAGGGTGTAGATTGACGAAACCCTGTATTCTAAACCGTAAACCTCAAGGTCTCAGTCAGTTCGACGCCCGCAGTCACCTATCATCATCATTTTCGACCACGCTCGTGTTTGGTACGATTCCTACCTGCTGTTAGAGAAACACTTACGAGCCCTAAACCCCAAACCTGAAACCCTCCCTTGAGGAACCCCTCCCGACCCTTGAGGGCAGAGAAGAATCTTCAGCAGTGGGGGGGGCCTTCAGGGGGGAAGCCCTGAGACCCTAAAATCTGTCCATGGTAGCAGCTGAATGTAGACGCGGCCTGGCTAAAAGATAAACACCCAACCCCAAAAAACAAATCCCCAAGCCTAGACTCGAAGGCCCAAACCCTAAACCCTCAAGTCTACAAACCTAAGCCCCAAACCCTAGGTATTTCAGGGTTCAGGGGCTGCTAGTTAAGGCGTCCTCGGCAACGCGGGTCTAGGCAGTTTTGGGCTGTCGAAGATGAGGGGCTGAAAGTTTTAGGGTTCAAGGCGTCAGGGATTATAGTCCCCCTTAAGTAGATAGAATATGGGGTATGTAGGGATCTTTTTATAATATACCCAAAGCCATGTTCTATCTACTTCAGGGGGACTATAGGTTTGGGGTGCAGGCTTTAAGGTTGTACAGGGGTCGATCAACCTTTTGGGCACTAGTACCCTAAACGTAAAATGTAATCCCACGTGGTTCAAGCAACGAGAATGCAATCCTCAAAGGGTTAATGTAGACCCATGATTAATAGACCCCCTCCTTTTAAGGGCCTCAATATTAGGATCCCTATTATAACCCCTACTAATAAGAGGGGGTTTATCAATCATGGGTCTGGGTTATTACATTTTGTTTCTCCAACGGTTTGCAGTGCGCCCCGAATGCAGTCTCCTCTCGGCTTGTTTAAGTGGGAGTTTCTCAACATTGCCCTTATAGACCCCCACAATCCGGCTCGGGGGACTAGTAAGTATATTTATAAACCTAGAGCCTTGTTATCCCCATTACGAACCTACTTGCTAATCCCCCTGGCCCTCCAAGTAGGTTGCTGGGGGTCATCTTCTTTTGGGAATTCAGGCGGATAGCAGTCCATGACCCGCGCCTTTCCGGCTTCCACATTGATTTGGAGACGGCTAAGATTTAGGGTTTGGGGGTTCAGGGTTTGGGGGTCAGATTTGTCTGAGCAGCAGGCTGGAAACCCTGACCCCAAATCCAGAAACTACAGGTTCCGAACCAGATCTTCGTGCACTGGTTGGAGGGCCAGCACATAGGTCTCGACTTGGATACCTTGGAGTCCCTCGGCAACATGTTTAGAAAATGTGTTTGGGGTGTATAATGTAGAAGTGAGGAGATTTCCCGACTAGTCCAGTATGCTTCTACTCCTTTTGTGATTGAAATTGAGAGGATGCCCCGAAGACTCAGTTCAGGTTCCTACACACCATCTAGCCCTTATGTAAATCCCAACCTCCACTTCACCTTCCCACTTTCTTGTCAACCTGATTCTCCATAATTCTTTAGGCCCTAAACCCCAAACACATTGCTGCATACCCATTCTCTACTTGCCGAGTTATAGTGACGATCCGAAATGGAAAATGGCGCCAATTTTCTTACCTAGCCCTAGCATTTTTATGAGCATATAGCCCCTACACCTACATTACTTGGCTGTTCATGTGACATAGTAAGTCTAACTACTCTAACTAATATCTCTGAAGCCGGGGGCCTTCAATCGCCTTGCTTCAAGAACCCTCACATAAAGACCCCTGAC